GGCCGTGACTGTGAGTGGGGGAGTTTATGTGTAGGGAAAGGTTGAGTGAGGAGAGCAGGGAAGAGAAGTCTGTGGAGATGGAGCAGGAGGGGGTGAAGTGTAGGTTAAAGTCGCCCAGGATGATGAGGCGATCAGAGGAGAGGCAAAGAGATGTGAGGAGTGTTGAAATGTCAGAGATGAAGGTGGGAGAGGTTTTAGGGGGCCGGTAGAGGAGGAGGATTTTAAGGGAGAGGAATGAGGGGTGGGAGAGGGTGAGGTGCTCGAAGGAGGGGAAAGAGCCAGAGGAGTAGGGGGATAGGGCAAGTGGTGTCCTTGAGATAAGGGCAACACCACCGCCACGGCGGTTGGGGCGGGGGATGTGGTGGGAGGTGTAGCCGGGTGGCGTGGCCTCCGTGAGGGGGAAGGTGTCGCCTGGGGTGAGCCACGTTTCTGTCAAGGCCATGATATCAACGTTCTCATCAAGGATGAGATCGTTGATGACCAGGGCCTTGTTGCAGAGGGAGCGGACATTTTGCAGTCCGATGTGGAGGGAGCGGTTGACAGAAGGGTGTGTGGGAGGGGAGGGGGTCCAGGTTGTGAGGCAGGGGTGGGGGAGATGGGGATGAGGGAGGAGAGGTTGACTCCCCGGGTCTGTGTCCGGGGTGGCTGGCGAGAGTGGTGGGGAATGGGGCAGTCGGTGTGGCTGCTGCTGGACAGCCAACGCCGAGTGCCGCGGTGAGCCCGGCGGAGGATTCCCAGACTGGAACAGAGGGAGGTTGTGGGAGGGTCAAGTGGGGATAGAAGACGAGAGGGACGGAGAGAGAGGAGGAGAGAGCGGGAGAGATGGAGAGGGGGAGGGTTTGGGGGGAGAGAGGAGGGAGGGAGGGAGGGGGTGAGGGGGCTCGGGTCAAAGCGGCAGCCATAGTGCGCACGCGGGGACCGGGAGCGAGCGGTCAGGTGGATGGCATTATCCCGCAGATTGGGGCATCGAACCCAACAGGACCATAGTGGGCTCTGATGTGAGCCCTGGGGGGGGGGGGCGCAGGGTTTTTTTTTTTTTTGTGAAGGGCAGTGAAGGGTTTGCACCTACGCTGGGGGTTGGAATCATGAGGGGTGGAGGGCAAAGGATGGGGGTGAGAGGAAGACTGAAAGCACGGTCAAAGAGGAGGACTTGAGCCAGCCTTTCAAGGAGGCAAGGGAGGGGGTGAGATAGATGGAGTTCCAGAGGGCGGGGCAGAAAGGCAGAAGGCCTAATCACCGATGGTTGAACGGGCGGAGCGGGGACAACAACAACAACATTCCATTTATGGAGCGTCTTTCACGTCAGGAGGACGTCCCAAGGCGCTGGACAGTTGGGTCGGGACCCGAGCAGGGGGAAATGGTCAGAGTGAGGGGAGGGAAGGGAGGGAGCGAGGAGGGGATAGAGTGTCGAGAGGGGAGCTGAAGGCACGGTCAAAGAGAAAGGTCTTGAGACCGGCCTTGAAAGAGGAAAGGAAGGAAGCAAGGCGAAGGCACTGGGGGATGGAGTTCCAGAGCCTTGGGCTGAGAGGCTGAAGGCCCGGCCACGATGGTAGGGCGGTTGGGGCGGGGGATGTGGAGTAGACTGGAGCCAGAGGAACGGAGGTACGGGCAGGTAGGTAGGGGGATAGTAGGTCGGAGAGGTAGGAGGGAGCGAGGCCATGAATGGCCTTGTAGGTGAGATGAGGATCTTGAATTCGATCCTCTGGGGATGGGAGCCAGTGGAGGCGAGCAGGGGTGGGAGTGATTGGTCGCGAAGCCTGGTGCGGGACAGTACACGAGCTGCAGAGTTCTGAATGACCTGCAGTGTGGAGGGAGGTGCGGGAGGCCGGCGAGGAGAGAGTTCCTATAGTCCAGCCTTGAGGTGACAAAGGCGTGGACCAGGGTTTCAGCAGCGTGAGGGTGAGGTAGTGCCGTAGTTTGGCGATGTTTCGGAGGTGATGGAAGGCGGTGCCAGTTGTGGTGCGGATATGAGGAAGAAAGGACAGCTCAGGGTCGAACAGAACGCCGAGGTTCCTGATGGCTTTGAGAGGTGGAGAGTGCAGCCTTGGATGCTGATGCTGTCAGCGCCTGAGGTGCGGCGCGCTGACCCGAGCCAATCAGGAGGGCCTCAGTTTTGCGCACGTGGAGCCTGATTTCATTTCTCTACCTCTACCCTGTGTACAGGTGTTATAGATTATCAATAACTTATCTTAGACGCTGCTCAATACAGGCAAAAATGATTGAGATGTGCAGTTTTTCACATGGAAAATAATGGATGAATTGGTTACACTTCAATCTCCTCAATAACATCAAAACATTAAAACATAACTTTCTTTTTCCGCTAGTTAAGGGAACTTTGGGCATGGTCGGTGAGCCCAAGGCGACAGTGCTTGGAATGTAAATCAAAGACTCTGCTTCAAATTAGCCTAACAGGAGAAGTGGTGTTTCAGAGCTTCCAGAGGGATAGAAGGTGTGTTAATTTGACATGTGCCACTGTTGGAAGGGTCCAACAACTGTAATAACAAATTACACTTGAATAGCCCCCTTCACTTTGGAAAGACATCCCAGGGCCTGGACAGTCGGGGTTTTCTGGACCCGAGCTGGAGTTGGGCTTAGGAGGGGTGAAGGCAGGAGGGTGTGGATGGGAGGGTGGCCGAAGAAAGCAAGAGAGGGAATGAGGTGGAGGGATTGTGGGGTAGAGTTCCAGTGTGTGGGGGCAGAGATGCTGAATGCTCGACTGACAATGGTGAGAGGGAAGTGCGAGTGACCTGATGCAGGCCAGTGTCCGCCGAGTGGAGGGAGCGGATAGGTGATATGGGGGGGTCGGAGAGGTGGTGGGGAGCAAGACTGTAGAGGGCTTTGAGGGTGAGAACGAGGGTTTTTGTGCACGATTCTCTGACTATTTGGTGTGTGTGGTGTGTATGAAGATGGAAGTCATAGCTTTGGTAAAGAATACACAACAGTGTTTGGGGCAGACAAGAAAGAACTATTGAGAAAAGATGAAAGTTTAAATGTCTGTTAGGCAAACAGCCGTGAGGCAAACAAGAATTGCTTTAAAAGCTGAAAGTGAGAAAGTCCTGACGGCTGTCCTCAATTCCATCCAATCACAGGATTGGGACTCTGATCTGACGCAACATCAGCAAACCCACTCGATTTGGTGATCACCCGGGGCCTCAGTGTCTCGGATGTCACTATTACCGACAAGGCCATCTCCGACCACTACTTCATCTCCTTCACCACCTCCACCCCCCTCCCCACCTCCACCAGACCCACCACCATCTTCTACCGCCCTTGGAAGAAGTTACCCCCACAATCCCTAACCGATGCCTTGGAGTCCTCTGAACTCCTCTCCCTCTGGCCTTCAACCCTCACCGACCCCTCTTCTCCTCTCTCCCTCCTCCACAATATCCTCTCCTCCACACTCGATACTCTTGCCCCCATCACTTCCCGCACTGTCTCCTACTCCCGCTCCTCCCCCTGGTACACCACCCACCTCCGCTCACTGAAATGCCAGGTGCGGGCTGCTGAGCGCACCTTTGTCAAATCTGGCCTAACGGTCCACCGACAAATCTGGCTGGACCTCCTCAAAATTTACCGCTCCACTCTAGCCTCGGCCAAGTCGTCCTTCTACTCCAGGATAATCCTGGAGGCGAAGAACAACCCCAGGCTACTGTTTTCCACCACATCCCGACTCCTCCGTCCCCCCGCCACCCCGCGCAGGTCATCTCCTCCAACCTTCACTGCGAGGAGATGCTGGATTTCCTTGAATCCAAGATCAAGGGAATCCGCTCCGCGGTCACTTCCCCTCCAACTTCCACCCACCACCCACCCCTTCCCTCCCACACTCCGACTCCTACCCATCCTCCCCTACACACCTTCGTACCCGTTTCCCCACCCTCTGTCACTGAACTCATCCTATCCCTAAAACCAACCACCTGCTCCCTTGACCCCATCCCCACTCCACTCCTTATCTCCCAGCTCCATTTTCTTGCCCCACACATCACTGACATCATAAACCTGTCCCTCTCCTCTGGCTCTGTCCCCATTCCATTAAAAACTGCCATCATCACGCCCACCCTGAAAAAACCCTCCCTTGATGCGTCGCAGCTATCAAGCTACCGGCCCATCTCCAACCTCCCCTTTCTCTCCAAGGTCTTGGAAAGAGTTGTCGCCTCCCAACTGCGCTCTTTCCTCTCCACCCATTCTCTTTTTGAACCCCTTCAGTCAGGTTTCCGTGCTGCTCATAGCACAGAAACTGCCCTGGTCAAGGTCACCAATGATATCCTGACCATCTGTGACCAGGGCTCCCTCTGTCTCCTCGTCCTCCTCGACCTATCGGCAGCATTCGATACGGTCGACCACGCTATCCTACTCCACCGCTTGTCCTCCCACCTCAACCTTCAAGGCACTGTCCTTGAATGGTTTAGCTCTTACCTTTCCAACCGTCTTCACTTCGTCTCAACGAATGGCTTCTCCTCCACCCCCCGTACTGTCTCATGTGGTGTCCCTCAGGGCTCTGTCCTCGGTCCCCTCCTCTTCACCCTCTATATGCTCCCCCTCGGTGACATCATCCGCAAACATGGGGTTAACTTCCACATGTATGCGGATGACACCCAACTCTACCTTTCCTCCTCTACTCTCAACTCCACGACCACCGATGTCCTGACAGCCTGCCTGTCCGACATCGAGTCCTGGACGAGAGACAACTTTCTTCAGCTCAACGTGCGCAAAACTGAGGCCCTCCTGATTGGCTGACAGCATCAGCATCCAAGGCTGCACTCTCCACCTCTCAAAGCCATCAGGAACCTCGGCGTTTTGTTCGACCCTGAGCTGTCCTTTCTTCCTCATATCCGCACCACAACTGGCACCGCCTTCCATCACCTCCGGAACATCGCCAAACTACGGCACTACCTCACCCCTCACGCTGCTGAAACCCTGGTTCACGCCTTTGTCACCTCAAGGCTGGA